AAATGCAGTTCTCCTAGCCACTGTGTGAACTGGGATGGCAACCACCCAGCATACTCCCGATCTTGCCCAGCGTGGAAGAAAAGGATATGATTACTTTGAAAGTGATGGAAAACATTTCCATCAGGGAGGCTAGGAGGAGGTGCTCACTGTTCTACAGCACAACCTGTGCTTATGTGGCACGTCAGGGAGCAGTGCCACACCAGCCTCTGCCACTTGCCCAGCCCTCGCAGAGTGAACCAATGGCTGTGGTGGCTGCCCCCAAGGCGGCAGTAGTTTACTCCGCTAACTCGTAAACAGGAGCCTGTCACTCCAGGTGGGTCGAGTCCCAATGCCTTGTCACACCAGGCGAGACCCGCAAGTGCGGTCTTCCAGTACCTCTCAGGAAGCAATGGAAACCACTGGTACCTCTGGTGCCGCAACACCGGTGCAGTTCTCTGGACCGCGCCAAGAAAACAAAAAAGCCAATAATGGAGCTGACGATGGTCCTGCCTCTAAGTACAATCAACTTCCTAAAGTACACACAGCACCATTTTATGCTGATCATGCAGAGAGAAATACTGTAGTGGACCATCCAAGGTTCTATTTGAAACCTCGATGACCTACAAGAACTGTTTTACAAACTCAATCCACAAGTTCTGTGTGTGCAAGAGACCCACTTGAAAGGAAAACTCACAAACTTTCTACAGAATTGCGTCATTTTTTTTAAGAGATCAAGATGATGCTATTGCATCATCCAATGGCGTAGCTGATATTCTTAATAAGGGAATAACATGCACGCATTGACAACTTAAACTGCTCTTGAGGCAGTGGCTGTCCGAGCCGTTATCTTCAATAAAGTCACCGCAATCTGTTCTGTCAACATACCCCCACGCCACAATTTACAAAAACATGAATTCCAGTTCCTAATAGATCAACTACGAGAACCTTATCTAGTCCTTGGGGACTTAAATGCATCTATCAGTCTCTGCAATGATTCTCGTTGTGATGGCAAGGACTAATTGAACAACTCCTTTTCTTTTCTAGCAGGTGTCTTTTGAATCGGAAAGTCCCAACATATTAAAGCCTCACAAATGGAATATTCTGATCTATAGATCGCAGCATTGCATCTTTGTCTGTTCTTCCCCTCCTTAACTGGAAAGTTTTTGGGAATCCCTACGGAAGTCATCACTTCCTAATAATCTTAAGCACACCAATAGCAAACCCATGTACTCCACACATTCCTAAATGGCATACTGATGCAACAGATTGGGAATGGCTACGAAACCTCTCTCTTAAGTTGGACTGACCTATGTACCTTAAGCATAGAAACTGCTGTCGACTACTTTACAGCTTTTCTGATCAACGCTGCAACTAAGTGCATCCAACAAACAAACCGACAGTCTAGAAAACTACGTGTTCTATGTTGGAATAACGACTGTCGAAATGCACGCAAGAAATAAAATAAACCTGGAGGTTGCCGCGAGACTCTCCAACAGCGGAAAACCTCACAAACATTAAGATCATAAAGTCGCAAGGAAGGAGCACGCCAATAAGTGAGACAGGAAAGTTGGAAGAAGTTTCTATCAGGCAACACTTCATATACTCATGAGGCTAAAGTGTGGAACAGTGTCAGTAGTGTAATAGAAAAACGGGCATATTCACTCCCACTGGTAAACATACAAGGTGACAGCTTAGAAGACCATGTGAACTCTCTGGGTGAACACTTCCAACAGGTGTCAAGCTCGTTGCATTACTCCGAGGCCTTCTAGCGCTACAAAATAAACCATGTACCATATACGAGGCATACAACAAACCCTTTTGCTTACCTGAGCTACAGAAATCTCTAAACTCCTGCAATAAATTCGCCCCAGGTTCAGACCGAGTAATATATGAAATGCTGAAAAACCTACTTCCCAAAACACAAAAAACCCTACTTTCTCTGTACAATGCTACAGTCGCCGACCGATTTTTCGGACCTGGCGGGGACCGAAAAAAAGTACGGAAAATCGAACAGTCCGAAAAATTCGTTTTCGCCAAAAATCTGAAGTTTATTGCATCAGGCAGGTTTAAAAAAGTCCTTGATGCTGCCTTGCCTCAAACTACGCTTGAAGGCAATTTGGTTTGCCCGTATTTGCGCCAAGGTGACATCGTCGCCATAAACGCTCGACAAAATTGTCACCGCGTTGGCGATCTCCGCTGCCGACGGCTGCGGGCGGTCGTTGTTGTCGTCATCCGAGCCGCTCTCCGGCTCCGGGACAACCTGGCGAAGAATTTCGTCGTCAGTGGCCTCCGCGCACGAAACAATGTCGTCGTCCGCACGAGTGAAGTCTTTAAATGTCATTGTGGCAGGTAGAGAATCCTTCTTTTGCCTCCTCCCCGTGCGATGTGATGACGATAGTGCTGACCGAAGACGAAAAAACGGCATCCATCACCGCGTCTTTTAAAAAGCAAACACGGCCTCCGAAACTTAAAATATGGCGTGCGCATTCCAATCTCGGAGGCAGGAAAAGCATCTGAAGACCAAGCTTAGCCAAGCCGACGGAAAATCCAACATGGCGGCGTTCACAATGGCTTGGGGCGTATCACAAAACGAGCGATTTAGTCCGAAAAATCGAACTTTGAGGTGCAAATTCACCCGAAAAATCGGTCGAAACAATGCATTAGCTCTATGGGATTCCTGACGGTGCATTTATGAAGTCCGGAATATCCAACAAGTCCGAATTTTTGGAGTCCGGAAAATTGGTCGGCGACTGTATCTGGTTTTCTAGAGAGATGCCTATCTTTAGAAAAGACTATTGTCATCCCCATTTTAAAATAAGCGAGCATGCATCCTCCGTCGTCAGCTACAGGCCCATTGCACTAACAAGCTGCCGATGCAAACTTGACGAAAAGATGATAAATCACAGATTTATATATTTTCTTGAAACAATCTTCTTGACCAATTCCAGTGCTGGTTACGAGCAGGTCGACCCATTACTGATCACCTGGCACATATCGAAGCACAGATCCGAGATGCTTTCATACACCACCAATACTTTCTTTTCGTGTTCCTCGATATGGAAAAGGCATATGACACCACATGGAATTTTGGAATATTAAGACTTGCGCAACCTTGGCATCCGTGGTAGAGTGCTAATCATAATCGAAAGTTACTTGTTCAACTGGACATTTCGTGTTTGTGCAATGCTTTGTGCCGAACATTTGTCGAAGAAACAGGAGTGTCTCAAGGTGGTGTACATAGTTGTACACTTTTCAATCATCAAAATGAACTCCTTGTGTTCTTACATCCCATCAAATCTGTGAATGCACATATGTTGACGATTTGCAAATCATTTTAAATGTGTGAGCGGCAAGTCCAGCTAGGTCTGAACGCGGTCGCTAAGTGTCGCTAAGTGGGCGGAAGAGAATGGTTTCAGTTTTTATGCTCAACGCTAAATGGGCGGAAGAGAATGGTTTCAGTTTTTATGCTCAAAAAGGCACCTGCGTCTTGTTCTCCCGCCAGTGAGGCCTCCATCCTGAACCAGATATTAACCCACATGGTCAACATCTCACTGTGAAGACAGAGCACAAATTCTTAGGCCTAATCCTGGATAGTAAACTAACCTTCTTATCACACATAAAGTATTTTAAAAATAAATATATAAAAACAATTATTGTTTTGAAAGTTCTGTCACGCACTACATGGGGCAGTGACAAAAAATGTCTGATGAACTTGTATAAAAGCCATGTAGGCACTAACTTAGACTAAGGGGCAATAATCTATGAGTCTGCAACACCAAGCACCCTACAAATGCTAGATCCTGTCCACCATCTAGGCATTCGCCTATCTACGGGAGCCTTTCGCTCTAGCCCCTTAGAAAGCCTCTATGTTCAATCGAATGAGTCCGAGAAAGAGAAGGACGGTGACAAGAAGCCGAGCCAGCGGCAGGTGCTACAGGTGGCACGTGCGTCGGTGGTACAACAAGAGGTAAAAGAAGAAAAAAAAAGGCGCGTGGGGAACGTGCAGAGAGCCGAGCAAGACCTAGCCGAAGGACACGCCGGATCAGGGCGCTGTCCTTGGAGATTTCGTGGCCGAGCGTATAGAGGGCCTGGTGCTTGCCTGGTGGTCCTGGCGGTTGCTCCAGCTGGGACACGCCAGACCAGGGTGCTCTTTGTGGAGCTCCTTCTGTCTGTTCTTCGGGGATCGAGGTCCGGGAGCAAAGGTGCAGACCGACACCAGGTGCGGCTCCTGCTACATCGGCATGCGCGACAGAGACGACTGGTTTCGGATCGCCACCGCCACCTGACACGGCTGAAAACTGTCTACAAACGTGAGGCCTGACGGAGGCGTTTTATCCTGTGGCGACCGCACGTGAGACGTGCCACCTGCTTGCCTGAGCTCGCTACAGACAAGGATCCTTGCCGTGCGTGAACTGTCGCCTCCTCGGGACGCTGTTTCAACAAACAGTGAGCGATGGTATATCCACGTAGATTGCACAGTAGCCACTGAGACTTTAGGTAGTTTAAGTGTGCCTTTTTGTGCTTGTCTTTGTGATAGACGATCGAGTCCTTTGTTGTTATAAATATTGTTCGAGATCTACTCCTGGGTCATCCCATATTGTTCATTTCATTGACCACGCATGGGCAAACGTGACGAACCACCCCTGTCGTTACACCAGGTTTCTTCCATGTCCGCTGTAACAACTGTCACTGTGACTGTGACAAATGTCAACCGTGACTTAAAGCAAAGAATTGCAAAATGATCTGAGATAGCCTTCATGAACTTTGATTCTTGTCGTGCCATGGATACCGCTTCTGTATCTAGAATCACTGTGCTTGTCATCGTGCTCAAGGTAAACGTTTATGCTGGTTCATTTCATGTTTTAATCCAATGAAATAAAAGAGCGCAGTGCACACGGTGTTTGAAAGTGGGCTCACTGCATATGTTGCCGTTTCAGTCATGCCAAAGCAATGTACAAGGCTAAAGTGGAGGCGACTAAAAGCTTTACGTGAAATTTTTTTCTTGCTTCTACCACATGCAGTGGCATTGCCATGACTGCTTCAGCCCTCGAATGTTCAAGTTACTCAAAGCAGGGGCTAGTTTTGCTGAAACAGGAGCCTCTCTGCGAAGGTATGCATATCACTAGGCAAGAGGATTTTGTTCCCTCTCCCCTTCCTTCCCACCTTACCCTGAGTCTATTTGTTACCTCTTTATATCGAACACATGCGATTCGCCGGGCATATGCCGGTTTCATGGGAACCATCATGGTGGTCACGGGGTTACTATCGGGGACTCCTATATTTCAACGTTAACTCGCCTTCTGCGAACTCCGCTGACTGCAAGACACTCCAACTTCTCTTGTGCAGTTACCGCTATTGCATACATGAGCACTTCCCGCAAATGGGGGTTGCCTTGCTATACAAGCTTCCATGCCAACTGCTCCTCTTGTTTCCTCCCTGTTTCTCTTTTGCCAATCGACAATTTACCTGCCAAAGATCCTCTTGGGCTGACCTCGGTAGCCCCAGTGAGTCGCTTCACTTTGTACAACACATGAGCAGTACTGCAGGCATGAGAAAACTTGCAAATTTCACTAGGACTAGGACCAATTTGCTTTGTCTACGTAACTCAGTTGTTCGGACTAGGCTGCTTCTCCTCCCTTGTGTGCTGTCTTGGTGTAGTAACCCAGTGTGCTGATGCTTCCTAGAAGTGCCAATGTCTCCTCGTTGCTTTCTTTACTCTCTCAAAAAGGCACTGGCTGTTGTTTATGTGCTCGTGGTGCGGTTGGTTTAAAACTGGTGCCTGTATTGATCATTTGTATTGCTTGACATGTGCTGTCACACATTGGAAATATGTGCAGTAAAACATTGTTAATTCCAAGTCAGTCTGAAAAGGATTCATCGTACAGTAAAACCTCATTAATTGGAGCTCAATTATTTCAAAATCTCACTTAATTCAAAGTATTTCTGCAGTCCCGTATTTCGTCATGTAAGTTTGAGCATATAATTTGACGCAGCAGTCAGCACCAGTACGGTTAATTCGAAGACTTTGGCTGCAGTGTGCCGATTCCTGATCTCGATTTCGCTGCAAATCTGCGGAAAGGACGACCCTTAAGAGCCACTAGGCAATCTACTGTAGAGATACTAATGAGCAACAGCTGGGCCATCCCAGCCTCACTTCTTTCAGCACGAAAAATAAAATTATATAAAAAGTTTGATTCATTGAAATGTGGGGTTTTATGTCCCAAAACCACCTTAAGATTATGAGAGATGCTGTAGTGGAGGGCTCCGGAAATTTCGACCACCTGGGTTTCTTTAACGTGCACTCAAATCTGAGCACACCGGCCTACAGCATTTCCGCCTCCACAGGAAATGCAGCCGCCACAGTGGGATTCGATCCCGCGACCTGCGGGTCAGCAGCCGAGTACCTTAGCCACTAGACCACCGCGGCGGGGTGTACAACAAAAAAAAGATGGCCTCGTGATAAGCTGAAATGCGCGCCTGCAAAAAACAAGACGTGCTTCACTGTATCGCAGCAGTTGCACCACAGCAGTGACGCGTGGGCAGCATGTTGCATGCTTATTGCGACGTCAGGGCGTCATAATTTACCTATTTTTTCTGGGAATAAACAGAAATTAAAATTGGCCCCGTATCTGCATGTAATCTGCAAATGTCGTCGAAAGACTATAGTGTTGAGTGTGGAGAGAGTGAGCAAAACATTTATTTGATGTTCTGCGCAAGAAAATCTGTGAATGCTATTCCGGAGGCGCTGCGTTAGAGTGCCTCGAACGAGCAGCGGAGGCGAACGAGCGCATCGAGGCACGTTAGCTACGAGTGCCATCTGGCACTCTCATCTCCGAAAATGAACGAAGGCCTGTGTGCCTGCGGAGAAAGATGCGTGCATTCTCAAAGGCGATAAGTTGTAGAACGCAAAGCGACGGGCAGGTGCCACCACCGTGTCGTTTAAGCAAAGCGATGGTCAAACTTGCCTTTTTAAGCCCCGCGTCGCACTGTCAGCACAGCGTGTTTAACGCTACGGTTCTTAGATTTACTTGTGTGTGCGTTCTCTAGTATAAAGGCACACTTACAAAACATCGACGTGTTGTTATGGTACCTCAGATATGTGCAATGATTGCTTTTTAATTGACAATCGCACACGTAAGAACGCTGATTCTTGAGCAACATGGGTGAGCGCTGCGAATGGTGTCGGCGGTTCGGGGTATCGGTTGGTGCCGTTTAAAGTAACCGGTTTACGGTAATAGTGGACAAACAGACAAATGTACAGACCGACAGACCAAAGTTTTTGCCTCGAAGGTCCCCAAGAAAGACTATCGTCTTTAATAAAGGACAGTCTGGTGAAATTAATGATGTATGCGAACCCCCGAGTGCTGGTTGCTCCAGCAATTTTTGCACTTGCAGGCGAAGTTTTTGCCTGCAACGCCTACTTTGAAAACTCGGTTTCAAAGCTTCAATGATCATGTTTTTCAGCCAAAACACATTGCGGATTTCGTCATAGTGTCTATAATTAAAATCTTTATTTTACCAGAAGCGAATGGCCACATCATCATGTGCTCACGCAATGAGGAGCAGGCGACATGCTGCCCGCGTGTCACTACTGTGAAGATTTTTATTTTTACCAGCCTGCATTTCAGTTAATATGAAGTTTTACTTTTTTTTTTCGGTACCAGCAGGAAGGCCCTGGGGTTCCCCTTTGTTTGCAGCGAAATTGTGACCAGATATTGCTTGAAAACATAACCGTTGCAACTGCAAGTTAGCCAGAACAGCAAACGACCAGCCCTGATTACCTTGAATAAATTCAAGTTCCTTACATCCCACTTTTTGTACGTTCTGTTAATTTGAAACCCACTTCATGCAAACATTTCTCACTGCCCCAGTGACTTCGAATTAATGATGTTATACTGTACTCCCGAAGTGTGGGAGCACATGTCAAGCAAGACAAATGATCAATACAGGCACCAGTTTTAAACCAACTGCACCATGGGCATGCTCAGGTACGTAAACGACAGATGGTGCCTTTTTGGGAACTGTAAAGAAAGCGGTGGGGAAACATACGTGGGGAGCTCACGTATTCACCAAGTCTGACAGCAGATGCCAAGCAAGCCTCGCAGCGAACGCACTCGAATGCGCAATAGCCGATGCACCGCTTTGGGATGCAAAAATAAAAACAATGGAGAGGCATCAGTGCATGAAAAAAAATGTTGTATTCCTAAAGTGTGGAAGCACATACCAATTAAAAGAAATAATCGAAGAAAGGGCACGTTTTAAACATACAGCCATTGCCGTACATGTATGGCAAAAACTCTCAAAGGACATCATAAAGGATACATTTTATGATGCATTAGAGCATGCGCGGCGTGGTTTGTAAAAGCTGGTAAGCAAAAAGTTCAGCATTTCACTCGCATGAAAAACAAATCATAATACCAGAAAAACAAATACACTATAGTTAGGGCGTTATTGTGCAACCAGTGAAGCATTCCATTCCATTTCCTGTGCCATGTATTTTCTTTTCCTTGCAATTAATGATGTTGCTTTTGAATAGAGCAGACGCCATCAGAAAGAGTCACTCATATTGCTATCTTGCATGTCTTTACACAACGAAGGAAGAACGGGCAGAGTCCAGTAGTAGACTGAATGGAGCTGTTGTAAGCATATATAATAAATGGCAGTACAGTCGACTCCCGTTAATACGAAGTTCACGGGAACCACAAAAAACTTGGAATTAAACGAACTTCGAATTAAGCAAAAAGCACTAAAAACGGCACTTTTATTAGTTTAAAAGCACGACAGTTTTGAGGAAAAATAGTCTGTCATCTTCTTCTGCTTGCCGAATCTGGCTGCGGCTAGCAAGTTTTGTAAGGAATACACGTGTCGAAGTGCTTCTTCGGCGTTGTGTTCTCCAACAAAAAACCGCTGCGCAAGAGCAAGACCCGCAGCTACATCGGCAGCCCTCGGTGGTGGCTCATTTGCGATGTCGTCGTCATCATCGTCATTTTCAGGAATGCAGTCATGGGGCCGAACCATCTGCACGATTTCGCTGTCCGTTAGTGGACCGCATGTTTCGACGTTGCTGTCCACAGCGACATACTTGTCAAAACGGATGCCACCGAGAGCGGCGCGAAAGCTACCGTCGTCGAGCTCATTTGTTTGCACTTCCACTGGCGCACAAGGAGAAGCATCCCCCGAGTTTTCCATGGAACCACAGGCCCGGAAACAATTGGCGATGGTTTCTTCTTTCACGCGGGTCCAATCTCGCACTAGCATGTTGATGGCACTAAGCAAACTCGCCTCGTATTGCGACGAGTTGTCCATGCACAAAAGCATGCGCTCGACGATATGCTGCCTATACAATACCTTCACATTTTTTATTATGCCCTGGTTCATGGGCTGCAACACGGACGTCGTGTTTGCAGGCAGGTACACAAGACGGATGGCACTCAAGGCAGGTACGTTCATGTGGGCACTACATTGGTCCACAAGGAACAACACCTTACAGCTTGATTGCGCGAACTTGCGGTCGAGTTTGGTGATCCAGTCCCTAAATATATCGGATGTCATCCACGCCTTTCTGTTCGAGGCATAATCCACAGGAAGCGTCTTCACGCCTTTAAAGCACCTGGGCTTGGCAGCCTTCCCGATCACAAGCAGGCGACACCGTTCTGTGCCAGTCATATTCGCCGCGACTAGCACTGACACTCTCTATTTGCTTCTTTTGCCTCCAGAACAGTCGTCGTCTTTAAATGTCAGGGTCTTGTCCGGTAGCAGCCGATAAAAAAGCGCAGTCTTGTCTGCATTAAAAATGTCTGCCGGCTGGTATTCTTCGAGGTACTCGTGAAGCTTGCCCGCTTTCCATGTCAGGCACGTTTCCTCATCGACTGACGCCTTCTCCCCACACACGCTTTTAAAAATCAAGTCGTAGCGATGTTTGAAACGCGTAAGCCACCCATCCGAAGCAGCGAAGTCGTTGATGCCCAACATTTCAGCAAGCGATGACGCTTTTGCCGTGACGACTTCACCACTGAGAGGAAGTTTGTTGTTTCGTGCCTCTCTGATCCAAATCAGCAGTGCTTCCTCCAACTCGGAGTAGGCGCCGGTGCGCATCCGCTTCCGCGATGT